GGGGGGGGGGGGGAGCATTTCAATATCAACATAATTTAATCATATTTCAGCAATGTAAAAACAAAACACGGGACTTAGTTATAAAAAAAGTAACCAAAGTCAAATTCCTTTGATAAGCTACTAGTTAAATACTTATCTGTAAGTCACTCAGATTCCTTACTAAGCTTTAAAAGCTGCTGCCATTACGAACAAATACAGGATATTAAAGATATCAGAGTTGACATCTCTGAAAGCAAAAGAAATAGGAACTATGTTCTTATCCCACGTACTGCCTGGCACGGGCAGGGCATTAGCTGATGCGCGTTACTCTATAAACACTCTCACAGAGACGTGCTCCAAGACAGACAGAAATAAATACTAAGCACTAAAAGCAAACTGAAGCTGGAATTTTATCTTTACATTCAATAGAGAAAGCTAAACTGATCTCCCAGCTCTAGTTAAAAAAAGCAAACAAAACCCCTCGTCCTCTCCGAGTCGGCCCTGTCCGCACTGTACGTGACGGCGTCTCCTTCGGTCCTGGCGGGCACTGATAACTGGGGCACATCCTACACGATGTTTTGGCTTTTTCTGTGAGCAAAGGCTCCGGAAGGGAATACATGAGTAACTCGAGGAGAAAAAACACTCCAGGAACAAAGTAACTCCCCTGCGGGGCCAGGCTGGGGGAGCTGGGGGTGCTCAGCCTGGAGAGGAGGGGGCTGCGGGGAGGCCTGAGTGCGGCCTGGCAGCGCTGACAGGGGCTGCCGGAAGGGGGGGGCAAGCTTTTTAGCAAGGCCTGTTGTGACAGGACAAGGAGTAATGGCTTTAAACTAAACAAGAATAGATTTAGACTGGCTATAAGGAAGAAATGTTTTACACTGAGGGTGGTGAGGCACTGGCACAGGTTGCCCAGAGAGGCGGTGGAGGCCCCATCCCTGGGAACATCCCAGGCCAGGTTGGCCGGGGCTCTGAGCACCCTGCTCTGGTTAAAGCTGTCCCTGGCACTGCAGGGCTGGGCTGGGTGATCCCTAAAGGTCCCTTCCAACCCAAAATATTCTCTGATTCTACTTCAACGTGGGACATTTTCATGACATACGCTGGGCTGTGCACTAGAACTACTCTCACAGCGCACACTGGAGACTCCTACCCCTGGGTAACCTGCTACCAACGCCACCAGGCTCTGAGGCCTTTTGCCCTACTAAATGCTTTGTGCACATTTACAATTTTATCACTCAGATGCAAAAATCAGTTCCCATAGAGCATGGAAAGGTACTGATTCGCATTTGTCTTTGCTAACTTGGTAGTACCTGATGCTACTCTACAAGAAGCACTTCTGTACTACATCCACTACTCTGCAAGGAGCAGGTGCTACACCCTAAGAAAACAAAAGAGCAAGGTCCCTTGAGTATTCTCCGTGATGCATAAACACACGTACATGCAGGTGGAAAAACATACACAAAGCATAGGCAAGGCATTTAGCACCTACAAAGTTACAATATTGACTTTAAAACCTCCAGGGTGGAAAAACAACTGCAAGGATCTGTTTACAAAACTGAGATCTGAAAATATATACGTATGCTCACGTGCATATACATGCTACTTAAGGCTTGTTTCAAACACTACCAGGTAGCAACAGTGTTAGGTGCAGCTTGTGTAAATTTTTCACTGATTTTCAAGTGGACTGCAATATTTAAGAATCAAAGGGAAAAAAGGGAGTTAGGGAACTAAATCTACAGCACAGGTATTCAAAGGGCTTCAGTCTTGCGTGCTGCCTATTTCAGCTTTTTGTAAGACAAAGACAAAAGGGAAGCAATGAAAAGGATGAAGATCTCACAAAAGAGAGCCTGCTTCAAAGAGAAACATTTTACATAAAAGAGTTCTGTGTATTTAGCTACTCCCCTCTAGTTCTGGGAGCCTCCGAAAAGCACAACGCCAACACAAGAAAATCAGACAGCGAGCAATGGCATCTCCTGGGGAAAAAGCCAAATCTGAGTATTGGAACATACCAGATAAATCCATGTGTTTTTAATAATAACACAAGTAATACTAGCAGCGTATATTTTCCAAATACAAATTAGTATACACTGACAAAGTTCCTACAGAGACGTGAACTGCGCAACTAGGCGAAGACTCAAAGCTGTTATCTAATTACCATCTCATAAATCTGAAGCAATCCTCTTGCTAATAGCTGAGTACAAAAAGCCACAAACTCAAGAGTAGCTTACAACTTCGGACTAAATCATTTTGTGGCACTTATTTCCAAAGCATCGCAACATTAAAGGCACACTATATTCTGGCGATGAGGTGTTGAATATTTTTATTTTCATCAGGACAACAAAAGAGAAAATGCAGATTGCCTTTTCTTCATTACTCACCAGAAAAGGTAAGCAGGCTGGTCCGGTTTCCAAAATATATTAAATCTTAACCTCTAAGAGGTCATCACCGGATCTCCAAATGGTTTGTATTGCTTTCAGTAAGACTGCAGCGACACTTGTAACACCAGAGAAGACCTAGGAGCATATTGTCTGGAGAGTTTTAGCACAGCCTTTCCACTAAAACAAACCCAAACAAACCCCAACCCCAGTCGCTCATTCTAATTTTGAAGTTGCTAAATCTAGAGACTGGGGCAGACAATGAGTTTTCCTCCTCTCTCCCCTTTCCTTCCCAAGTGTTGCTGGCTGCCTCAAGCACGCCACAATTAAAAGCCATTGTTTCGGGTAAATTTGAAGTTGAAGCCAATAAAGAAAGGGCTGTTACAGCCTATTACCAGAACAATGGCATTCTAGCGTAAATTGATTAACAATTTAGCTTTGTTCCTTTTCTCAATAAAGGCACTGAGGTGAAAGGATATATCCTTCGAGGGTTTGCTATAAACAGATGCCCTAATTTATAGGCATGGAATAGTGATACAGAGGATGAGAGAAGCAGATAAACAAAATCTATTTCATGAATTACTAATGCAGAACAGCTAAATCCCTTCTGCCAGCTCGGTGCCACACCACAGGTACAGCTGGGAAGATGTAATTAATTACGTGCCAGGTCTCACACAGATGAAGGTAATGACATTACTGCAATATCAAGTTTGATAAGGATTTAAGCTATGCAGCAATAGGTACCTAACCAAAGACTATGAACTACTCTGGGTGTATAGAGACGCTCCCTCCCGTGTCCAAAGCCTCCAGTGCAACCGAGGTAAGAGAATCCTCAAGATGAGTAAACTCATGCAAAAGTCACTGCTGCCACCATAACCCCAGAAGTGTCGTATCTGATCACCTTAACTCTACAACTAAGGGTGCAAAGTCACTGCTTGTTCATCCTAATGCTTTTTCAGTTACTCCTCCACGGTGCTATCATGCTAATTTCTGCATCAGCTTGAAGACAGCTCTACCCTGTAATTTCCAAAACTCTGGGGTAAGAGCTTCTGGATGGTGCTACCTCCCTCTTCAAGAAGAAACCCAGCTCACGTCCTCCTCCCCTGGGCGGTGGCAGGTTGACACATGATCTGAAGAAATGTCCCAACCTCAACGGGGACACTCCTCAACAGTTCCAGCAAAGAGCACTCAAGCAATTCCCATCAAGCCACGAGCTGCACAAAGTGGAAGTGAAGGTGCCTCCCAGTAGTTTGCTACAACCCCGGGTGATCTGAACACTCGATTTGGAAAGCGAGAGCTCAAAATTCCCAGAGTAATGCCATTTACTGCCATACTGTGCAACAGAGAGGTGCACAGCCATGAAATCCCTAAAAAATCTGATGGCTTTGCAAGCAAAGAGCATCTTCAGCCATTCTCACGGCAACATGCCACTGTTCCAGCGCTCGCAAAACCATCTTCTGCATTGCCTGCATCAGGGTTTTCCTCCCAGAGAGGATCAGGTATCTCAAAGGTCACTCTGGACCGCTCTGCCAATCACCATGGCAAAGAGGTCAGAGAAGAGTGACAATCACCCTCTACGCTTAATATCTTCTGCTTTCATCCCACTTTCCACGGTACAGTTGAATTGATGCTAAGGAGC